TCTATCGAGCGCGGGAACGAGCTCTGGCTTCCCCACATGGCTCACCGGAGGGAAGCGTGTCGGCGACGGAGTCGGCGGGTGCGACGAGGCGGCGGAGTCTCGTTACCTGGCAGACGAAGTGGAGTAACTCTCGGAAGGGCAGATAGACCTATCGGCTCATCTCAGATGTGGACGCATGGGTTGGAAGGCGGCACGGCGAGGTAAATTTCTATCTCACGCAGTTGCTGACAGGGCACGGCTGTTTCCGGGCGTACCTGCACAGGTTTGGGCACGAAAACTCACCTGACTGCCCGACCTGTCCAGGTGCGGTCGAGGATGCCGAACATGTGTTTTTCGCTTGCCCTCAGTTCGCCTACCACCGCGAACAGTGGGTGAGAGTGGTTGGCACGGCGACCCCACCCGAGAGGCTGGTGGAGGCTATAATTAGTGAGGCATCTATATGGGCGGCTACCAGTGACTTCGCGGCGGCGGTTACGCGGGAACTCCGCCTTGACGAGCTGCGCAGGAGAAAGGCGGACGTGGCAGGTAGGTGAAAGAATCTGCTACTTCTTTTCCTTCTTTTGTATTGAGACTTTGCAGCTGAGGGGGGCCTGATAACAGACTCCTGGTGGGGCGCGCCAGCCGCTGGCGACAGTAAGAGGGAGCCTTCGGAGGCCCCGACCCAGGCACGTGTAGGATTCCTGCTGTGGGAATGATTAGCTCACCCCCGTGAAGTAACGCCAAGCGGCGGTCCCACGGGGGGCACAATGAGTGTGAGCAGAGGGTGTTTTTTAGTCGGTAACAGTTGCACTTTAGCCGAGCTCATGGCCTTCGGGTCTGAGATCTCGTGGTCGCTCCATCCAGACCAGGCTGAATCCGACACACCGGGCCCGACCATCTGGGCCTGACGGGGTATAAAACCTTTTTTTTCCCCTCTATAAAAAAAAAAAAAAAAAAAAAAGCAGAACACAAACATGCTACCCAGGGTATGCTAAATATAATCATTAGTTACTCATTCGTTACTCATATATGGTTGTTCACTAGTGACTTTGTTCAACTACGGAGTAAGAATTCGTTGATTATAAATGTATTCTTTGTTCATTCTGCTAATTGCTCAGAAATCTGTATATCCTTCAGCAGGCTCCTTTTATTCATTTATAAAATATTTTCCTTGAAATTATAGGATAATTTACTTTGGAATTTAACTTTGGAAATTAATTTTAAATGATGAATTTCTAAACGCGAAATACAAATATTAGTGAGGAAAATAATAAGGAACGGCGAATTTCCCTGCCCATGGGCTCCAATTTCAGTTGTAATTCTACAAGAAAGTAGAAAACGATAAAGAGCTTTCGCAAATGAATTAACAGAGATGAAGAAAATAGTTGGTTCACTCGACGAAGCATGCATCAAAAATAGACGTTTAACCTCGAATTTTTTTTTTGAAGACAGTGCCTATGCAAGATATCAGTTGGCAACGCATAAACACAATTTGAAAATGAGGGGAACAGTGGAGACTTCGGAAAATAATGACCAGTTGACTGATCAGAATCATTTTCCTGACAATGATGATTGTGATTATGATAACAGCCAAAATGAAACCATGGTTGTGCCACAGAGAGAAAGAGGTAGTTTTTCAATTGGATATTTGTCATCCTAAATTTTTTTTGGCAGTTCCAAAATTTTTTTTTTTACATAAATGGAATTTGATAATAATAATTGTTGTCAAATCGTACAGGCAAGTTCACGCATCGATGAAGTAATGAGCAGACCCTACTGTTATTATCTTTGTATAAAAAACAGAGCAGTAAGCTAGACAATGGAATTATGACAGGTAGACATTTTTGGACGATTATTGTTGACGGATTGAAAAGAAAAGGACATGTGGTAACAATGGTCCAGTGCACTACAAAGATGGATAGTTTAAAGAGAAACTATAAGAAAATAAAAGACCACAATGCATGTAGTGGCAATGACAGAAAATCCTGTGATTACTATGATGTAAGTAGCAATAAAAGTAAGACTAATAAAATCTCTCAATTCCATTGATTCCAGTCTACCTCAGGATCCAACACTCCTATGAAAGATATGCCAGACTCAGATGACAATCCGGAAAATAGTTAGTATTGTCTGGATATTCTGGTAGATATAGCTTTTCGTAATTTTATCTTCGATAATATTCCTAACGGCCAGCTCGAGGAGATGAAAGACACGACGAAGGATCTGGCTGGTGATTGCAAAGGGCTTTACAAAATGTGACGAGGCAGAATGTTGCGCCCCCCCCCCCTGCCCCCTAATTAATACATGTTATTTTTGATAGGTTAAGTTAGGTTTAAGTAATCTTTTTCGCCACCGTTGGGCAACCCATCTCCAGATACTCCTAACCCCCTCCCCGTTTTCTCTCCCCCTGGCACTCACGCATCAAGGAAGAGGATCCCACGTGACCCGGGAAGAAAGAGATACCCCTCGAGCGAGCCCCTGGATGAGAACAAGAAGGACACCCGATGACCCCGCCAAAAATCAGGGAAGAAGAGGTGAGGATGATTGGCAGACTTCACTCGTGCCACCGCTGCCCCACGAGTCACTGCCCCAGAATTAAGAATTAAGAAGGATACTGTGAAGGACTAAACTTTGTGTCAAGAGTATATAGAGTGAAAGATACTGTGGAGAATATTGTGTGTGAGAAGAACTATTGAGAAAATGACTAAACCGTGTGAAAGAAAGAGTGTTGAAGAGAGAGTTTGGAAGGAGAAGGAGAGAACTTGCGGGGAAGGACATTTCTTGAAGGAGAATTGTATGGATTGTGTGGAGCACTTTTTGGAGAACATCTATCCGGACCGAGCGAGGAGAGAGAAGGAAGGAAGGAGGATAAACCCCGAGGAAGAGAATTTTGGAGACACCATTCCCCGTGAGTGCCCCATTTTTATTCCCTGCCCCAACGAATTTCCCTGCCCGTGTTAATTTCCCCCCAACGGTGAGCCTCCAGTAAATTCATTTTAGTTGTAAATTAAGCCCCCTTTTAATTGTTACCTTTTCAGTCGGCCCCCCTCACTTCTCCCCCTCTTTCCAGAGTTAGAGTCACCCCTTCTTTTTATTATATTATTTCGCGTAGCCGCAAGTGAGTTGGCCTTACCCCCCACCCTCGAGTTATATTAGTTAAAAGGCCCGGATTATTTTGATGTAATAGTTTGTAAAAAGAGTAGAATACAGATAGTCAATTTATAAATCCCCCCGAGTAATTATTGAGAATCCCCTCCCTCTTATTATTTCAGGTCCTCCCATAAATTATAATAAATTTCCCTTTCATTTTTCAGATTATCGTAAATTCCCCAATATCGTGCCTTCGCCGGGAATTATTATATTTTAATTCCCCGGCCAAGGTCACAAAAATTACAAAAAATTATCATTACGTTTCCTCACTCCCCTAATTAATTAACATCAATTAATGAATAATTATTTCTTTCACATGTGTATCTAGTTTTCATTATAATGATTTCTGATGATTTAGAGTCTCGTATGAATCTCATATGAAAAATTTAAGTCTGTCAATCTTGTCTCTCATTTATAATTTTTTAAAATTTCTTTTACCTGTCCTCGAAATAGTTTTATTATTATTTTTTCTCAGTGTTTCCCAATTATTTCCGTTAACGGGGCCTAATTAATTAGCAATGGCCCGTATATTGTTGAATCGCTGTCACTTACATTATAAAATTAAAAGAAGAATTTATTTGTTATTATTAAAATGATGATAAAACGCTGTCGGTTGGGTGTGTGAGCACTTTGAGTTTCCCCCCGTGTGCGCATTTATTAATCAATCGTAATGATTTTATTCAAATCATTCATGAACTTGTGTTTCAATCATTGTAGCGCACAATTTGTTTTTTCTTTTTTTGCGTGATTTTTTAATAGTTATTTTGCCGAAGTGACATTCAATCATTGAATTTATTTTGTTTTTTAGAATTTTGTTTTGAGTTTTTTCATTAATTATTGAGTGATTAATGATTAAATGTGAGAATTTTTTTTTAGATAGAACATTCGATTGAATTGGTGAATCATATTACCCTTTTAAATCGGAAAATTAATTAAAGTTTGTCTCGATAATTTGATAAAAATTAATGATTCATTTTGAAATAAGATATATCAGTATATTCGGGCATTGTGTCGTACAAGAATAATATAAGCACGTTAATTGAATATGTAGAGAAAAATAATACGGCCGTATCGTGGGGATGTTTTTCCCAAAAACTTACGTGGTTCGTGTTGTAAGCCTATTTATTATTGAAAGCCCGTAGTAGAGAGAGTGCGGATGAAATATCAATATTAAAAAGAAAACAAAATAATGAGACGATTACCCCTCTCGATCCCTGTTTCCTCTCCTGAACGATGTTATAAAAAAGAGGACAAAGAGATAAGAAAAAAAAAGAAACTTATTGTTCGTTTTTCATTGTAAGAGAAATAATTATTATTGGTTTTGACTTTAAGTAATTAATTAATGAGATTATAAAAACCCATTGGGCACTTATTAACTGCGTCACATGTAAACAAAGAAAGAGCATGTAAACGAATGATTGAGAAATCATGAAGACAATTGTTAAACGAATAATTGAGAAATCACGAAGACAATTGTTAAAGTGTGAACAAGCTAATGAAATTGATTATTGATGTTCGATTTATCCATTGGTGAAAATTTTAATTTCATTTTCTATTTTAATGTTACATCCGCAAGGTTCACATTTACTCCCTCCGTGTGTACACATTATATGAACATTGTACATACGGAGATCGAACACTATTATCTAATCACAAAATATAATTTTCAAAGTATAAAAAAAAAACATGATTACACGTTACCTTCGCACACATGACAAAAAAAAAAGAAATCGAAATAAAGTGTCCGTCTGTTGAAACAAACACAAAACCAATGCCTTTATCAATTTTTTTCAGCTGGTGTAAGTCAGACATCTCTATTAATGTAATTTGTCAAGGGTTCTCTTTTGAGTCCACCTTGTCCTTGCAATTCATCATTGGAGTGGTTCAGCATTTTCATCTATATTATCTGGTATGATGATGGGATATTCGAAGGTATCTTCATTTTTTATGCATATGTTGTGCAATATACAAACGGCCAGTATATAATACGGAATCAAATCAGTTCGTTTCATAGGTAGTTTATCCAAAAAATATCTCCAACGTGTTTTCAGACGTCCATCATTCCGATACGGTGTAATTAATTTTTTTTGCAAAGTGTACGCAGAGTCACCCAAAAGGTGAGTGTCTTCCGGAAAATACTCCTCCGCATACCTTTGTTGTATGCCAGAGTATTTGAATCCACGCATATCGTGGACCGACCCAGGGAGACCTGCGCAGCAGTGGATAAATTCTAATTTATCATTACATACCACCTGTATGACAAACAAACATTAATTATAACAGTGTATTTACGCAAGTCAAATTCATAATGAAGGTCATTCCAAAAATCACTTATCGATCATTTTTATTACTGAAAATCCCGTGGGGTAAACAAATTTTTTTTTCATTGACAATTTTTTCCATTAAAAATATTATATTTCTTTGTTTCAGATCGTGTGGAAGTTTCATGCGAAATGATTGACTTGTAATTTCATGAATGACCCATATATTGTCTATAGTTATGAGAATTGATCGAGTACTTGTAATTGTAGTGAGTGATGTCCTTTGCGATTGATGTAGGCCTGAGGATCTGTGTTTGGTGCTGCAATGTTTATATGAGTGCCATCTACTACCCCTATAACTCCAGGAAATTTGTACCATTGTTCAATCCGCATGGCGGTTTCCAAAGCCTCCCTATGAGACGGCCATCGAATAAAATACGTTCTCATTTTACAAAGAGCCTTGACAACTCTTTTTACGGCACGCCGAGCAGTCGCCTTACCCACTCCAAATTTTGTTGTCACTGATCTGGATGAAAAACAAAAAAAAATGGATAAAATCAAATAATATTCGTTCGGAAGCGGATTGTTTTTTTGCACGAACCTATAAGAATCCGGAGTTCCTAGTACATATAACGTAATGTACAATCGCTTTTCTGGATTTATTGTTACTCCTCCAAACTCGCGTAATTCTCCTTCTACATCTGGTCTCATTAAAAAAAGTAAATACTCAAAAGTAGTGCGATTCATGCTGTGAACAAATAAAATTTCAGTTATATTATTCTTGGTAGGAACGATTCGTGATAATATAATTCAATTACCGAAAGTGTTCTTTAAATTCCACGTTCGTGTACCTGACAATAACTGTCTCAACGAAATTTTGAATACGAGGAATCCTTCGACGATTACCATTGTCAAGAATGAGTTCTTCCAGATCATCAAGTGTACCGTCACTGTCATTACTACTACTGGACGATGTGAAAACATCATCCAATAGCATGAAATTTCTCAAATTATCCATTATGATTGTATAATTAACGTTCAATTAAATGCGTCAATATTTGACACTGATGTCTAGTCAACTTTTAGGTTACGTACGGACTGTGGCTCCAATTTATTGTATAATTTATTTTTAATAATAAACACTTCCAAAATATTCTCACAGACACATAATGCTCCCTGGGAGTAAATATAATTACCATGTCAACAGTTAAATTAATATAAGTCTTCGAGTTTGTTTATTATAAGACAGTAAGAACGCACGCACTACACTTTATTTTTATTACTGTTACTAGACACGTGAAACGATTTTCCAGTAAACTTCCCTCGTCACCAGATTTCAAATACACTAGAATTCACTATTACAGGACTGTCGCAGTTCCCCGGCGGAACATACCCTTTACCTTCTTTTTATAGTTTTTTTTTGCTATCATAAGGGATGGGCGGTGGAAAGAAAACTCCGCCCACCGAACCCTCTGCTCTTAACGAGCAGTCTCCGGATAGTCCGGCTACTCCACCGACAGAGAACCCCTCCTCGGTTGACTTATCGGGTACAGGGCCGTCCGGCCTTGCCGACCCGGTCCACCGATCCGTCCAAACAGACGGGGAAGGTGGCTATAACCTCGAACCCCCAAAGGTTCGCAAAACCAGGAAAACTTCCGCAGTAACCAAACCCAAGGTTAAGGTCACACGCTGCGGCTCCGCCAATAGTAACACGGTTTCCGACGTCTCCGACGCGGCTTCGATCTCCTCGGTTTCCAGCCGAGGCTCTCTTCGTGGTGATGGTCTAGGAGACCCTACCACGTTCCGGGATCAAGGCGACGACCCGGCACCTGCGGACCCGAACCCTCAGCTAGGGGCGTATGTCCCCGGATGGGTCCGTTATTCAGCATATCCAGGGTATGCTGGTTTCGGAGGACAACCACCTCCTCCGCACTTCCCAGGGGTTGACCCCCGGGTTTTTCCCCAGAATCCGTGGATTCAAGGGCACACTCCCTTTTTACAAGGGCATTATCCTTCCGCTGACCCGGAAGGCCGATCTCAAATTAGACGACCTCCCCATATGGAGTATCAAGATTATCGAGCCTCAGGGCGCGACATTCCTGCGGAGAGATACTCTCCGCCAGGCACAAGTCCACCCGCTCAGGGTCGGTCCCATCCTGCCACGGGTGATCTCCCTCGGTCTCCTAGGGAACAACCGCGTACTCGACGGACCGTCCACGCCGATCCGGGATTCAACCTCTCTGATGAGGAGACCGGTTTCCGAGTCAGGGCCGAAGGGTTTCTAACTTCGGCCTCAATACTGCAATCCATGAAAAAGTGGGATGCAAAATTCTCCGGTCTTCCCCATGAAGATGTGGAGCTTTTCTTGTCCAGAATTGAGGAAGGTAGATCCTTCATGCCAATCTCTGATGACAAGCTAATTGGAGGAATCCCCTTCCTCCTCTCCGGGCCAGCTTTGACCTGGTATCGTGGCCACTGCCATGAATTTCGGACTTGGGAACAGGTCCGGGAAACCTTCCGCTGTACGTTCACTGATCCGGACTATCAGACGGCCATTCGCGAAGAATTAGCCTTGCGCACTCAGGCGGACGATGAGTCCGTCAATCATTATTTCGCCTGCATTCGCGGTTATTATACGCGTATTGTTCCAGTAGTGAGCGAACTGGATCGAGTGGTGCAAACCCACCGAAAACTCCTTCCAATCCTTCAGGTTGGCGTTTCTCTCCGGGACGATATGACCATGGAGGAGCTCGAGAAAGCAGCAAAGCGCCTCGAGAAAATCTACGAAAAATCGGCAGCTCGTCGCCCACCTCCAAAACCGGAGCATTCCATTTGCCCGAGTTTGCCCTATAAACCTACTCGTCCTCCCGGACGCATCTCTTTTCGACGACCTCTTCCGACGTCGCGACCTCCATCCGCCAGGATGGTTTCTTTTGACGAAGACTCACAGACTCCGGAGGAGGACTCCCAAGGGTATTACGACGAAGGATACCTGGCGGCGGACGCGGTCTCGCACCATTCTCAACCTCCCCGGATCCAGAATCACAATCCAGCTAGACCTCTAGCTTGGCAATCCGGCATGCAGCTGCGACCTCGCTCTCATGAGAGGCACGCTCATAGCCCGGCTCCTCACCCTTCGAGACGGACAGGTAACAACCCACCTTCCGCTCCCGCTCCATCCGCAGCTCGAGCTGCCGGTGGCCCACTGGAGGCAACCTCACCTCCAGCTCCACGTCCACCCCCCGGCGGGGTAGAATGTTGGAATTGTCGTGGACGAGGACATCGTCACCGTGAGTGTCCCGAACCGCGTAGGGTTTTCTGTTACCGGTGCAGATTATCGGGTGTTACCACTCAAAATTGCCCGCACTGCAATACAATCCATCCGGGAAACGGAGTCCGAGGCACGTGAATCCGGCACCCGTACCTCCTCGTCAGCTTGACTTTACGCCGGCTATTCACCCTGACGCTACGCGCCTCCACCCCGCACCGCAGGTGACACCCGCGGAGGGGCTTTCTCTTCCACAACTCCCAGTTGTGGCTCTTTTTCCCGACCCTTCGGGAGCCTCTACTAGGCTAACACCCGAGCCCATGCCTCCGAACAGCGTTGTGCTCCACGCTGCCTCGGAAAATATTCCTCGAGCATTCCACGTCGATATCATTATCCGTGGCTTTAGGGTAAGAGCCCTCATAGATTCGGGGGCTACTAAATCTTTCGCCGGTATGGCGGGCATTCTCCTTTTCGAAAAGGCAAATATTCCGCTGCTGGAAGTGCCTGCGAAGCAGGTTATTACAGCTGGCGGCCAAGTCGAACTTGTCCGACACGCGGCGGCCTGCATTGCAGACCTCGCCGGCCGCGATACTCCGCTCACCGCGTTTATTATGCCAACTCTCTCCGAGGACTTCATCATTGGGATGGACTTCTTGGTCACTGCTAGGATTGTGATCGACTTTTTCGAACAAACCTGACATTATAGGGATAAACCGCATGAGCGTTTCCGATTCACCCCGGTGAATTCGGCTCTACGACTTACCATGTGTTGTGGCCTAAGAACCATCGAGCAATCGCAGGAGGCCCAACTCCATGCGTTCCTCGATCAAAACCTTCCAAAGCGAGAAGGTAAATTAGGAGTCACGACTCTTGCGTCCCATCGAATAGATGTTAACGGCCATCCTCCTATCCGGCAGCGGCCGTACCACACGACTCCCGCAATCCGGGAAATCATGTGGAAGGAGGTTAAAGAAATGCTCGATAACGACGTTATCGTTCTCTCGCAAAGCGAGGGGTGCAATGCGATAGTCATGGTGAAAAAACCAAATGGCAAATATCGATTTTGTATCGACTTTCGTAAGGTGAACGCCGTCACCAAGAAAGACGCTTATCCGATCCCAAACATGACCAGCATCCTGGACGAATTGCGCCAGGCCCATTACATCACTACGCTCAACCTAAGTCAGGCGTATTTCCAGATTCCTCTGAACTCCGACTCCAGGGAGATCACAGCTTTTGTGGTCCCTGGCCGTGGTGCTTACCACTTTCTCCGTATGTCATACGGTCTAACCAACGCTCCAGCAACTTTCCAGCGTCTGTTGGATAGGTTGATTGGCCAAGAAATTTACCCGCAAGTCTTCGTGTACCTCGATGATATTATCATCGTCTCCGAGACATTCGAGAAACATCTCGAGTTACTCGGCCGTGTCCTAGATAGGATCAAAACCGCCGGCCTCACTATTAACAGGGAGAAAAGCGAGTTTTGCTGTTCCCAGGTGAAATACTTGGGTCTTTTTAGTCAATAGCTCCGGTCTCCAAGTAGACCCGGACAAAATCGCCCCTGTTCTCGAATTTCCGCCTTCACGAAATTTGAAACAGCTAAGGCGCTTCCTCGGGATGGCCTCCTGGTACCGCAGGTTCATCCCGTAATTCGCGCCTATCGCGGAACCCTTAACTCGACTGACTCGCAAGAATCAGTCGTGGGAGTGGAAGGACGTCCACGACCTCGCGTTCAATACATTGAAGGCGCATCTAACTTCGTCACTGACGTTAGCCTGTCCCGATTGCGGGTTACCGTTTTCCCTTCAGACTGATGCCAGTACTGTCGGGCTAGGCGCAGTTTCAACCCAAGTAATAGAGGGCGAAGAACGCGTCATCGCCTACGCAAGTAGAGCGCTCACCTCCACAGAAAAGAAGTATACAGTGACCGAACTCGCGGTTTTTTGGTCGATAGCCAAATTCCGATGCTACCTGGAGGGTTACTCCTTCACGATAATCACGGACCATAGCAGCCTGCGCCTGGCTACATAATCTGGGTAATCCCACCGGCCGACTTGCTCATTGGGCCCTAGGTCTCCTAGAATATAACTTCGATATCGTACATCGCAAGAGCGCGTTACACCACGGGCCCGACGCCTTGTCTCGCGCCCCGGACGGCGAGGGTGCCGACTGCGAGACTATCGAATTAGCTAGGGTGTCCACCGACAAGTGGTACTCGCGTAAATACCGAAACGTAAAGCGCGCTCCCGACTTCTTCCCCGATTGGAAGATAGTTGACGGACGGTTGTATACACACCGACCCTCCGACTTCATCACGTTAGAGATGGTAGATCTCAACGCGTGGAAGTTGGTCCTTCCTCTGGAGTCGCGATCCCAAGCGATTTCGGAGTGTCACGACCTCCCTCAAGCAGGCCACTTGGGGGTTGACAAAACTTATCGTCGCCTCTATGCATCGTATTATTGGCCAAATATGTTTAGCGACGTAGTTTCTTTCGTCCGCCATTGTGATACCTGCCAGCGGTGTAAAGTGGAAAACGCCATGCCGAGGGGTCACATGGGCCGACGCTTTATCCAGGGTCCTTGGACGACCGTGGCAGCTGACATTGTCGGCTCTATCACGCCGAGTAAAACCGGCTATTCCTACGTACTCGTGTTACAGTGTAACTCGAGTGTAACTCGTGTTCGTGATCATTCCTCTCCGTCGAGCCACGGGGAAGGCTATTAGGGAGCAAATCAAGGATGTTATCATCTCTCGCTGGGGTACACCTAGCGTTTTGTTCACTGATAACGGAACCCCCCGGAGCAGCAGGAGTTTAAGCCCGAACCTCAGGACGTAGCAGGTCCTAGCCACGCAAGTGGCGTCTCCACGGTAGCCCGAGACTTGGTGGCTGTCTTGTGGCCAAGTGGAGCACCTCCAGAGTCGGCAGACTTCGTCCTCCCAGACCTGAAGAACGACCCTCTGGTAATCTATCCCCCGAGGAGTCCTCACCATCCGGAGATAGAACCCATCTCTCGGCCCACAACTCCAGTTTCACTGGCTTCCAGAGTTGACCTGGCCTATCCCTCTCCATCACTGATGGAGTTGGCCCAATTACCGCCGGCCGGTCCCAAGGAAGCGACCCCGGCACTCCCGAAAGAGACTCCTCCGAAGGCCTCACCACCAAGAGGACCCTCGGCAGGCCAAGGCAAACCCAGGGTTGCGACGCCTCCCCCGGCCGGACCAGCTGCGGGGAGGCCTATCGCCAGTACCCATTTCCAGGAGCCACCGCTCGCGAACCCCGTCGTTCGGCTTGAACGACTGGACCCAGCCATCCTCGCTCCAAGAATCGAGGACTACTGGCGGCCACTCACCCCATGGCTGCAGGACGTATGGAGTGTCGAGCAGAGGAGAGCAGGCTTTCTGAACGCCCTCCACGAGTGTAGCCTCCAGCCACTTCATCATCTGCGCTCGATCCGGTACGTGGTTCCCCCAATACCGGAATCATCGCCAGGGGTTCAGAGCCAGACGCCACCCAGAGAAGGGAGCCCAGGCCTGGCGAGAGGCCAGCCCCCGTACAGCCCCTATGCGCACCTTCCTGAGGAGTCAACCCGACGACCATCAACCATGGGAACTACAAGGCCATCGCTTCCCCGAAGCGCCCCTTCACAACGATCTTCCTAACGAAGCTCGTCTTCCACCAGCTTATCGTCGTCATCATCAGCGACGTCATCCTCCTCCACGTCATCGTCATCGACGGCCCGCTCATCAGGCTCGAGGAGCCGCCAATCCGAGTCGGTGGAAGTTATATCAGACCACGAGTCTGCCTCTCCGGACGTCCATGTTCCGGCCTCCACTCCGATGGACGTGGACTCCAGGACGCGGCTGCAGGACCCAGTGGGGGAAGACCTGCAGGATGACGAACGAGCATCTTTGGCTGGTTCAGGAACTACCCAGGTCGCTCGCTCTCCAATTCCCCGCTCACCAACTCCGGGGCAGGAAAAGCCACTTCATCGGTATCAGCTGGTGGGCACGTCGGCGAGAAACCACTCCTGACGGCCGACAAGGTCCGGCAGCTTCCTTATCCTATATGGAAGATGCTCAAGGACATCCTTCCAGTGGACCCAACCACTGGCTCCGCATCTCCAACCTCCGGGTTCGGCCCTACTCCTCCAGCGACCCCAGTCCCTGGCACCCCACCTCCGACCTCCGGGTTCGGCCCAGCCTCTCCAGCGACTCCGGTCACTGGCCAACAACCTCCAGTAACACCCGTTCCTGGCCCCAGGCCTCAGAGAGAGACCTCCGAGATGACCTCATCAGGCGTCACCTCAGCCCAGCCGGACACCAAACCTGGACGGAAGACCACCAGGAAGGGACCAAACTCCAAAAGGATTTGGTGCTTCGACTGTAGGAAGCACGGGCACCGACCAGCCAACTGCCCGAACCCCACAGGGGAAACTTTCTGCGGGAAGTGCTCCTTCAGGATCGCCACCAATCGCCCCTGCCCAACACATGGGACAACTCTGCCGGACGCCGCCATCAGCAAATTCGCAAGTCGACCAGCAGTGAGGTCCGAAGTGGTGAAAGTCACCCAAACTCCAGGACCATCACGGCGGCCAACTGCTGCCTCGCTTCGCCCGAGGGCGCATTCCGCCACCGGCGAGACAGGGCGCGTCCGCGCCAGGACCCCGCCGCTGTACGCTCGTTGAGCTGACCTCCGGGATCGCCCGAGATACTCCGACGTCCTCCAGGATTCGAGGCGCCCGCCTACCCGCGAGCCCGTCGGCAGAGGGGCTGTTCGGCGAACACCCCATGCTCCTCCAGCCACGACCACTTCTGGGAAGTACCGGGCCTACGAGGACCAGAGGCAACAGGACCCACTTCGCCAGCACTCGTACTGGGCCGCGTTCGAGTCGGGTACGCCAACGAACTCCCAGTATTGGGCTCCTTCGAGCTACGGCTCGGCCTCTCCCGTGGGGAATCTTCCCCCCCGGGCTGATTCTCCGGCGAATACAAGAAGCCAGGACCGACCAGGGTACTACACGTACGCCTCGTCCCCAAGCGCAGCACCCACATCAATCCCTGCTGCTGGAATCACGCTGCCAGCCGAGACCATCGCAGCGATTGCAGAACTCCTGACTGGAAAGAGGACCATCGCCTCGGCCCGCTCGGCCGAATCACGGGACCCTCACTAGGTAACGGCCGCCCCAGGCAGAAACCGGCCATTAGGGGAAAATTTTTTTGTTTTTTTTTCTGTTAGAAGCAGACACACCGCCATAGTATTTTTTTTGTTTAAGTGCCATGTCCGTTGGGCCCGCAAAGAATTTTGTTTCTGTTCCTTTTTTTTTATCTCCATGAGAGATTTTTTTCTTGTTTTTTTTGCTCTTGAGCCAACGCTCCAAGTCGGCGGGACCGGCTTAGTTCCGTTCATTTTTTTTGATAACTTATTTAGTTTAGCTGCCTCAAACTATTAAGACGACAGCAGTAATCATTGTGATAATTCTCACTGTATGGCCGAAGCCGCCAAGAATTAATTTTAGTTCTTTTGTACCTTTATATTCTCCGAAGTAAATGACTACCGTCGGTTCGAGTTTAATCTTAATTCCCAACCCTGTACCGCTGGACGTGGGTTCGGTTAGAGTAAGTAGGAGTAAGTCCCCGAATCTTCTCCAACCATAAAGAACAACCTCCACGAGGACAGCCAAGCTGAGACGTAACCGGATAGTGACCGTCAAAGGAGGGGGTGTAACGGACATGTGGGGATGTCCGTTAGGGATGACAAAACCCCCCAATACCATCCACAAAATTTACGGGGATCATCGCGTCCAGGGGCACCGAGCCCCTGGTTTCGTTAGACTAGGAAATTAGGGTTTAGGGCTAGGGGGAAGGACCTAAAAGGCCGTGAAGAAGGGCCAAAAATTGAGCCATCCGGTCAGTCAAATAAAATATCACAAGTTCAATGGAAAATTGGCGTTCCGATTTAGGGGAAGCATGAGTTTAGGACTACGTTTGCGTTAACGTCTCCGTTTTTCGGTGGAAGGCCGGGGAGAATAAGTGCAACCCTTATTCGCCCCGGATTGCCAGGTTGCTTACGGGTTAGTGATTGAATTGACCTTTTAATAATTTTCGAAATTAGTAGAAAATACTAAATTTTAGATTTATGGGTGAAGAAAGAAAGATTTTCAGTATTCATGCTCCCCGGGAAAAGTGATTAATAAGGCCCCGATCGCCCGTGAAATGAAAAGAGAAAATATGTTAGGATATTAAAGAAGAAAATAATGAGAGTTAGGGAATTAGACTAGCAATTCAAATTTGAATTGTCGCTAGAGGCGCCGTGCCGCAACTAGCAACTAACGCCAGCCAATCAGGGAGCGCCCGATTTTCGGCTGTGCGTGGCCCACCTGTTGCACTAACCTCTCCAAGTCAGTTGTTCATGGCGAGTCAGACAACACGTGTGGAACAAAAAGAATTAGTGAGGAATTACGTGGGAAAAGTGAGGATTATGGTGAGGAAAGCACCAAGGAAGGGAAGGAAACCCCCAAAGGTGAGTTGGCATTCACAATTATTGTTTTTGGGCGACTATTCCACCGTTATTGTGGTTATTTCCACGACCTGTCGTGGCCTTGTCCGAGCCGGCCGCCCGGCTTCGGTTGATTTCTTTTCCATCCATTTTTGGGTGGTTTTCGGAGGGATTTTCCCTCTGCGGATGAGGCCCCAAAATACTAGGGGCTCCCGTGATCATGTTGATGGGTAATTTCGAGGGAATTTCCCTCGTTTAGTGTGATTTTTGAATGAAAATAGGCCCCCGGTTTTGGCTGAATTTCATTCTCCATTTTAAGTGATTTTCGAGGGAGTTTCTCCCTCGCTAATGAATCCCCAAAATACTAGGGGCTCCTCTGGCCACGCCAGTGGGCAGTTTTCCGGGAATCTACCAAAATTTTAAGTTGTAAGAGCGATTTTCAGGTGGGTGAATTTTCCACGGCCAGCGGTGGCCAGTGGCTTTCCTTCTCTCTCACTCTCTTCAGATCTGATCAGAGTTGGTTCGAGTCCGAGGAGTCGACACTTTTTTTTGTTGTTTTTTTTTCTTCTCTTTTCCCTTTTTTTTGAGTAGTTAAAAGTTTCCCGGCATGTCAGGTTGATAATGCTGGGGTAATCGAGGATCTCCCAGGAATTCCGGGAAATCACTGATTTCCCGGCGCGCTAAAATTAGGAATAAGGTATTATTCGCCGAGCGATAATTTGTGCAGGAAAAATTTCGATGGTAACAAGGAGGGGCTACGCATAATAGATTTAATAATTAATTTTTGTAGTCGCATCTTTTTGGAATTGCCTCAGGATATTAGTTGAATAAATTACGTTTTTTGGAGACTTTATTTATCTTTCCTTTTTATTTGATTTACATGGTACTTTAATTCATGATTAGGCATGCCCAAAATACCCCGTTTCCACCCAAGATCCACCCCTCTCTCCATCACCCGCACACTGAGCGAACCAGGACCGTTACCTTTCTCCGAAGCCTGATTTTCCCTTTCTGTTCCCCTTTTGAAAAATGTGTTCTTTTGAGTTTACGAGGGTTAATAGGCAATCGAAATCAGTTGAGTTAGTTTTAGTGACCTTCCGGTTTGGTAATTCCGGCTAAAAATTACTTGGCGCCCATTTGATTTAATTTTAACAGGTTTGGTTAGGCTTCGGGGAAGTAGGGCGAAGGTGACGGGCATTTTCAACCCCCATACGAAATTGTCACGTTAGAGTTCATATGAGTATGATACTAGTAGCGTATGCGTACGCCGTACCGCTCCAAGCTTGTACGAAATGAGGTTCTCAAAACCCGTACGATACTAGCACGGCGTACTGGTAGTGTACCCATTCGCAAAAAAAGTATGGCGGGCTGCTATAATGCGGGTACAGTGTCGGTACATCGTACTGATATCATACCCCCCAGATAGCACACGAACCCGTACGATACTAGGATAGTGTGGGTATGGCGTACTCTACCGTACTGGTACCGTACGCGTATTGTGCCAGTATTGCTACGTGCGTATTGTACCAGTATAAAACTAGTACGTCATACTAGTACACCGTACGGCTCACCTATCACTAAGGTACCTATATGAAGTATCTATATTCACACTGCTGTGTGAATATACTACTGATACGAGACGCGTACGGCCTACCAGTATACTAATATTATAATGGTAACATACCACCACTATACGAGCACGCGCCATCTAACCCGTACCTAACCGCTTTCCTCCCCGCCAGCCCTTCACCAACATTATTATAAAATAATAAAAGAAATAAAAAATGCACAAAATATATAAAAAATAATTTTATTGAGAACAAATACAATAACACAATTTCATTATTTAATCATTTAGGCCCGGATGGACTATCTTGAAATCCGTTAGAATTTCGGATCAAATTTTAAGCTAAAAAGATTAAATTTAATCAAAAGATGACGTTCAAGAGATAGTCCATCCAGGCCTTAAATTTAAACTTAATAAGATCATCCATACATCAGCCTTTAACGATGTAATTGGGTTGCTTGTGAAAATGTGGGCATCGTCGAACGTCCTATCTCCTTGAGAAGTGCTGAAAAAGAGAAAAAACAAACATTAAGTTATAAGATAATAGACAATTCTTACCTGTGAGATACACTGTACAGCTTGTGTCCTTAAGCCATTCTCGAGGCGCATCTGAAAAATAAAATGATTAATAGTGGGAAGGGCCCCAACCTTGCCCTTTCCTGTGAGACACAACCAAAATTTCGTCTCTCCAATCTATTTTACACCTGCACCTGAAACAATAAAAATGATTAGTAGTGAAAAGGGCCCCGATCCCGCCCTTTTCTGTGAGACGCAACCAAAACTTTGTCTCTCCAAGCAGATTCCTAAAAATAACGAGAACAATTAAAGGGAAAACAGCCCCTCCCCGCTGTTTTCTGTGATGCTCAACCACAAAACAGCATACAGCACCTCCAAATAATTAAGACTAATAAAGAAAAAAGAAGATACAGCTCACTCGACATGGCCTGTTCCTAACGCAGGTCTCCAAAGAGCTCGTACAGGTCCTCATCCTGTTCCAGCTACAGGTCCTCGGCAATACGGCGTCGTTGAGGTGCTGGGTCGTGCTTGTCCCCATCCCGCAGCGGTCGTTTGCGCCGACGGCGCTTTTCCAGGGCCTTCAGGGACCTCTGCATGCAGATGCAGAATTGATCTTCCTGTGGCCCTGGAAATCTGGTGTTCCTCTGCATGGCCTCTGAAAGAAAAGTAGAGAACATCAGCATTTGAAACATTATCAGACAAACAATAAGTACTTACCACGATAAGCACGAGTGAAGCGGCTCCTCTGGAAGGAGTGCTTCACGATCGGAGGATTGCCATCACGGGGAATCCCCTTCCACGTGATGTCCTTCGATAGCTGGGCCTCGGGGTGGAATGCGCATGGAAGTACGCATTCGCACATTCCTGCGGATTATCCTCCTCAAGATGGACGAAAAATGCAACCTGTAAAATAAATGACTCATTCATATTTGTGGGATCATTATAAAAGATACTGGAAAATAATAATTACACGTACCAAATCGTCGAAAATTGCAAAACGCGAGGAAATCCTCTAAACTTCGCAGCGGGAATCCTTGAGGGAGGTCATCAGGTTTCTGCAGTTGCTGACGCTGATGTTGCCTGAAAAGGAAGAAATATTAAATTAGGATTCTGAGTGAGATTCACACAATTCGTCATTTTCTACTTAAAAATTGCATCGATCCGTGATCTTACCTTACCAAGCGCTCGATTGCCTGCATTTTATTCAGCAGGTAGTGCCTGTAATAATAAATTATCTCGTAGAAACACCTGTTATTTTTATTCAGAAAATTTATTTTTTAAAACGTGACTCACGCCCATCGTGGAGCACCGGCCATCTCAGCAGCTTCGTCCACTGCTGCTGCTGCTTGTAGTGGGGCTGCTTGTGGTGGGACTGCTACTGCCTCTGCTGCTGCTGCTGCCACTGCTTCTGCCTCTGCTTCTGCTTCTGCTGCTGCTGCAGCTGCTGCTACCTCTGCTGCTGCTGCTGCCTCTGCCTGGAGCCTCTCACGCTGTGCCCTCAGTGCCTTTGCCCTTCTCCTCCTTGCCTCCATTGCAGCCGCTCCTGAAACAAACTCCGATGGCCGGCGTGGTGTTAAAGAGGACATCATTGG